AGATAATAGATAGGGTAATGGTTATTCCTAGAATGGTATTGATAATGGGGTAATAGTAGTGATATATCGGTGAAGTGTAGGGGGGAGTATAGGAATAATCATCTAATGGGTTGACGGTGGCATTATTACCCAAACTGGGCAAGGACTACTCTGACTCAAAGCCGGGTTTGAGTTGCAGCCTCCGTCCACTTGTTAAGCTCGAAGGATGGATGGATGGATGACCGGGCGGGCGGGCAGGGAGGTAGGGAGCTAGGGACTAGGGAGGTAGGGAGTTAGGGAGAGGGAGGTAGGTAAACACAGATAGATCGATAGCCAGGGCAACTTGACTTGAATTCCCGGACGTTCCATGTCGTGGCCTGCTCTCGCATGGCAGAGGCCTCTTTGATACTTCGGCGGGTTGCCTCGGCCCAAAGTCAGAAGCGCCGCGGCCGCAAGCAGACCGTGGCCCCAGCCTCCAAGCCGGCCTTGAGGCTGTCAACCTCGACTCAGGTGATGTGGACAGCAAGAACCTCCCTTCCCGACACGTCCGCTTGATGCCACGCGGCCGTGGCTGTGAGGGACTGGTAGCGCTGCTCCCAGTGCTCTGAGAGTGTGGACTTCGTCCGTGCCTCTGCACTTTTCTACTTCAGACTCAAGGCTCGAACCAAACCTCCGGGTGCCTCTGTTGCGCCCTCAAGCTTGAGCTGGCTGACCTGTGGGGATACGCGACATCACGTCGGCCTGACCTTCACCTTATATGGACGATGATATATTCCCTGGGGCCTGTGGCGGAGATAGGATAAAATCCATAGAAAAACCATAGGGGCAAGCATGGTTCACGGGTCAGTATGAATTTAAGGGGATCTTGGGAGCCTCCTCCCCCCCGAACCTGGTTAGAGAGCTCGGTCCGCAAGCCCGCGAGCTCCCGCTTCAACTCGGTCTGCATCTGGCACAGGTCCTCTAAGCCTCGCCGGACACAGGCTTATGGCGAGCGGAAGGCAATCAAGTCATGACCCGGTGATGAATCGCAGAAGAGACGCGGTTTGCGCCGGCGGCTGAAACTCTTCCCGCAGGTAGTCTTGCCTGTGGCCAGTTGAAGCTTTCTGCATTCTTCTGCTGACTGTGACGACTCACTGTCCCAATCGCTGGCATTTTCGCGAGTCTTCTGGCCTGGAGCTCGTCCACTTTTCGCTGCAACTCCATCTGCCAACTTGACATTGGGTTGAGCGGCACTGCCTCTTTGACAAGTGCATGCAAGTCTAGGTACGGGCGCAAGACCCAAGAAGCTGAAGGCCTTTGCACGACTCTCTACATTGATCGGAAAAGCAAATGTAGTGTGCTCTCATCTACACTCCCGAACCGCTCCATGCCCACATGACTCGGTTCTGTGTATAGACAGACATGTATCTACCTGTGTCTAGATATGCACATTAGTATGTGTGTCTGGATGTGCATGTATGTATGCATGTATGTATGCATGTATGTGCATGTGCGTGTGTACCATCCTTTGCATCCTTTGCATCCTTGTATCGCCATCCGTCTACCGACAAAAGACAATAGAGCACCTCTCCAGGCCGAAGCTGCCCTTCGGAAGCTTTGGCTGCGGGCCGTTGTACCTGTCCAGGGCTTTGCCAAGCTCTGCCTGCTGACTTTCTACTCCGCAGATGCAGCGGACAAATTACAGTCCCCCTGCAGCCAGTCAGCAATTCGAACGGGTGGGATACGGTGGGATCAAACCCTCTCATAATCATGATCTGACAAGCGTTCTGCGTGGCCATGCCGGCTCAAGCCCCGAATGCCATCGAATGCTTACATCTCCCAGCCCCTCCCCGCCTCACAAAGCGCGCTGCTTACCTCATCCTGCAGATTCCTGCGGCGAGCCTCTCAAAGGCGAGAAGACACTCAATCAAGGCGTTCCTGTAGAGGCTAAAGCGGCTAAAGCTGGTGTTTCCGTGTTGCCGCTTCTCGTTCGCTAGGCCCTCCACCTTGCCCAATTCATCCACCAACAGAACCGAAGCGAAGACTTGTTTTTTTTGCTTCTGAGCGCTTGAGGGGGGTGCGTGTCTTCTATCCGGGTTTAACAAGGATCGTAGCAAAGGTGTCTGGAGTCAGCCACGTGCCACGAGGGGTAGCTGCCAAACCTTGCTCAATGTACCGAGGTTGGTCCGTTGGTTTCTTGTGGCTCTTCACATCATCGCAGTGGACGGACACACTGCCCACACGACGGTGCGCTGCACTTCGAGAAGCCAGCTCGAAAGGCTGGGAAGCTACTCCAAGCGCTCGCTTCACCATGCTTGCCACAGCATTGCGGCCGCAATGGTCTCTGAACTTCGCACGGGAATTGAAGAAGACGGGCCACCAGGCACTGCGTCCACGAAGTGCGGGTAGGAAAGGACACGCACGTCCAAGCTCGCATAACGACTCCTGCAAGTTTGGGGCATCAAATGCTACAGTAGCTCCGATTTGCACTTGCCCCTCCGGGGTTTGATCCTCGGCCAAGGCGGGAGCTTAGATCACATCCTCCATAACTTTGGGATGTCGGTGCGGCCGTGGCTTCGAGAGAGCAAGGGCTGAAGTGGTACTCGCCGCAGATCTCGTAGCATCCGAACACGTCTTTCAGCTCCAACATGCATAAACGGCCCGAATGGCCGCAGCCAGGAGGGCGTGTCCTGACTGTGCTGCGGAACGAAGGCCGTCGACTCTTTCATCAGACAAGCTGCACAGTATAAGAAAAGCGAAAATAGACTGGGCCACCGTGATGCTCCTTCCTGCGGGCTTCATGGCTGCCGCTCACGCCGGCCAGCCGACCCTTCAAAGTCAAGAACTGATTTACTGACCCAGCGGTGCACTGGCACTTGAACGCCAGGTGAGCTTGAGAGGGCGAGAGCCTCTGGATTTTAGTGATCCTCGGAGAGCCTCCCCAACGCCCCATAAGCCAACCCTAAACCCTAAACCCTAAACCCTAAACTCCCCAAACCCCAAACCAAAAAAAATAGAGCCTCCCTGCCTCGGCGCAAGCCTCCCATCGGCCAACGAAACGCTCGAAGGCCTGGCCAAGAGCCCTCCAAGGACTTCGTTTCCGCCACTCGAAGGACTGGCTAGGCCCGCTAGGGTTTAGGGTTTAGGGTTTAGGGTTTAGGGTTTAGGGTTTAGGGTTTAGGGTTTAGCTAGGCTTGCAGAGATTGGGAGTCTCAAATTGTCAATCTCTCCTGTTCTCTACGGCTCGTTCTGAGGGCCCTCGAAAAAAAGCTGTACCTGCATGTCTCTCTTTCTCTACATCATGTGTCTGCAGACACATGCTTCGACGAGGATCCACGAAAGGTCGGGAGTCAGGGGTCCCGCAGCCTTGCACTGCTGATGCTCCAAATCCTCCAGCTGCTCGTGCGAAGCCTCGCGGCGTGACCATGGTCTCGACTCGCACAGCTTCGTGGGCGAAGCGAGGATTGCGAGAACGAAAGTCCCGCAAAACGCTGCGTGCCAAGACACATCGGGAAACAACACCCTACAGCTCTCACGTGGCATACCTGATAATGGTTAATGATGGTTAATGGTTCAAGGCTTCGGAATTCAAGAGGCTGACTGGTTTGCTTGTGGGGAGCGCCTTCCGCCCCATCTCAGTGCGGAGCGTCGTCACTGCATCTGCCATGGCCTGCAAGGCTGCATTGCTGAAGATTGTCTCGCAGGCTTCCCTCGACTCTGCAGAACACGTGCATACCGCTGTGGATGTCTGTGTTTGTTTTTCTGTCGGTATACCTTTCTAACCTATCAATGCCATTACTGTTACTTATCTACCTATCAAGCGGGCTGGGTTGTTTTTGGTCCCCGTAGGCATTTTTGGGGTGCTTTCTGCCCTGGGTAGGCCCGGCGCTCAACAGCTTCTCGAACATGTATGGACAGAGTCCGAAGAAAGCCCTCCGCATTATTTGTATCTCCACCAAGGTGGACAAGGTCTAAAAGCAGGCCTTCTCTCCCGCGCACCGGCTCCCTTCATGTTTCATTTCTGGGCGACGGAGTGGGTTGCATTCCCATTTAACTCCCTTCATCATTGGGCTCCACCCTTCATGTGCGTGGTCCACGGCAAAGAGGTTGGGCTCCCATTGGTTTCGCTTCATGTTTCCTGTCTGGGTTCCTGGGTCGGATGGGTGGGTGGCGGCCAAGAGGCTGGGCTCCCTTCATGTTTCCTTTCTGGGTTCCGGCAAGATGGGTGGGCCGCGGCGACGGGGTGGGCTCCCGTTGGCCTCCCTTCACCATTCGGATCCCTTCATGTTTCCTTTCTGGGCTCCATGGTTGGATGGGTGGGCTGCGGCGACGGGGTGGGCTCGCTCCCACTGGGCCCCCTTCATCACGGATGTCATCGCCACCCATCCTTCTTTTGCACAAGAATATTGCCAGATGCCTAAACATCTGTTTTGCAGCATCTGCTGGCGAAGACAGATTGGGTTCCAACACGTTCCAACCTGAACCGGCATGGTTCGATGCATTCTGTTTGGGGTTCTTCGCTGGTGGAATCGAATTCTCTAATCTCTTTCGAAATACTCTAATCTCTTTCCAGCGGTTTGCCACTTCTTCTGAAATTCTCTTGTTCCTTTCGAGTGGTTTGCTCCTTGTTTTCAATTCAAACTCTCTAGTCTCTTTCCAAAGTCTCAAATCTCTTTCGTTCTTCGGAAATTCTCTAGTTCCTTTCGAGCGGTTTGCTCCTTGTTGTCAATCTCTAACCTCTCTGGAAGTTCTGTAGTCTCTTTCGAGCGATTCTCTAGTTCTCAAGTTCTTCTCGAGCGGTTTGCTCCTTGTTGTCAACTTCTCTAGTCTGTTTCGAAATTCTCCAGTTCCTTTCGAGCGGCGTGCTCCTTGTCTTCAAATTCTCTGTCTCTTTTGAAATTCTTTGGTCTCTTTCGAGCGGTTTCCCTTCTCTTCCGAAAATCTCTATTTCCTTTCGAGCGGCTTGCTCCTTGTTTTCAACTTCTCTAGTCTTTTTCGAAATCCCCTTAGACTACTTCGAGCGGTTTGCCCCTACGTGTGCTCATTGTTTTCAACTTATCCAGTCTCTTTCGAAATTCTTTCGTCTCTTTCGAGAGGTTGGCTCCTTCTTCTGAAATTCTTTAGTTCCTTTCGAGTGGTTTGCTACTTGTTTTCAAATTCTCTAGTCTCTTTCGAAATTCTCTAATCTCCTTCGAACCGATTGCTCGTTCTTCTGGAACTCGTTTTCGAGGCAAGTTCCCTAATCTCTTCCGAAAGAGTCTAGTCTCTTTCAAGCGGTTTGCTCCTTGTTCTGAAATTCTCTAGTTCCTTTCGAGCGGTCTGCTCCTTGTTGTCAATCCAAATTCTCTAGTCTCTGTCGAAATTCTCTAATCTCTTTCGAGCGGCCCTCACACCGAGGCAATGTCGAAGCGAGCAAGCGAAGGCGCTGACAGCAACAAGAGAACCGAGAAGGCCGCGAAAGTCGATAAGGTTGCAAGGGCTAGGAGGCCAGTTCAGAATTCATGCCCATGGGTTAGGTTGTTTTTTGCCCCCTGAAAGATTGTTTTGTTCCTTCAGCCTTAGACCCCCCAACCCAGGGCGTGAAAAATCCTTGTACGGCCGGTTAGGTAGTTTTTTGCCTTAGACCCCCAAACCCTGAGGATCTAGACAAGGCGCGAAAAACAGACCCCCAGCGAGAAAGTGAGCAGGAGGAGCCTTTTCGGGGAGTGCACAAGCCCTGCCCCCTATCAAGCTATCTACCTACCTACCTGCCCTACTTACCTACCTACTTGCCTTCCGTATGTGTATATACAGATACACATATGCGCACACACATGTATGTATTTTCTAGTGTACTGTGCGTGTATACTATCAACATCTATCTATGCATCCACCCAACCATCCAACAGTATACCCATGAAGCCCATCTATATGTACAATACATCTACATCAGTGTAGGTCTGTTTCTCTATCCATCTACCCAAACCTATCTACGTATCTGTCTACCTATCTATACCTATCTACTCATCCAACAACAAGGACATGCAGCAAAGAAGCACGTACATACCTCGGACCTAGGTTTACATCCGTCACGTAGATGAAAGTCCACTCTGGAAGCCTGGCATTTCGTTGACAGCGCATCGATGTGCTCACGGAGCCCATGCACGTCCTGCGAGTAGCACAAGACTGAGAGGAAGCCGAGCCTTTCGGTACCCAGATGTGCAAAGAAACGCATGTGAGAGGGATACGACGAGTTTGAGTACACGATAGTACACGAAACCACCTCGAAACCCAGCAGCAATACGGACGCAAACCCACGGAACGGTCGACCGCGCCGCTAGGGAATCCAGGCTCCTCTAAAGTTCCGTTGTGGGCCGTTGTGGGGGAAGGCAAGAGGCAGCAGAGGTAGCCTTTCAACACGATGAGACAAAAGCAATGGCTAGATTGAAGAGACACCTATTCATCCGATGGTTGCACTCTCGCAGTCTTGCAGTTTGAAGTTTCGGTGAGGGCAACTTCAGCACTCACGGCCCAAGTTGTGAGCAGTTACACTTCATCGTCATTCAACTCTCGCGATTGGCACGATTCAGGTGAGGCTCCGCAGCACAAGTTCGAAGGTCAGATAAGGTAACCCTCTGCGCATACCGTTTCAGAAATGTCCTTATGGTACAAGTACTGGTACCGACGGGGGGAGTCTTTCGGAGCACGGTCAGCCCTCGGTCAGCTGTCCTTCTTCAGGCTGGCAGACAGCTGTTCGTGGAGCGCTTTTTGTGTAGCAGAGAGATCGCCAACTTTCTCCTGTGCTCGACGCTTGCCCAATATGACCATCACGTTTCGAAGTGTCAGCTGCGCTCCTGCAAGCACTCCAAGCCCAGCCAATGCTCGCGATTGTGGCGCACGACCTTCTCGTCAAGATCCTTCAGCTTAAGGCCTGATAAAACCCCACCCGAACACACAGGAAGTCTCTTCAACGTCATCAGCACTGGGGTTCCCTGCCGGCTTTGCTCGCTTCCGCCAGCGCAGCCGCATGTACCTCGGCCTTGTCAAAGCAGCTGGAGGACTCGGCTTAGCATCATTGCACAGCCATCGTTAGCAATGTCATTGCCATTAACATCACCATCATCATCATCTTGACTGCGGTTGTTGTATTGCTGTCATGCCTGCTACCTTTTTTCTTGCGCTAATCTCATTATTGCTACAGTATGTTTTACTACGGCGGCACCTTGGCTACTGCCGAGGCTTCCAGTGCGGAAGCCAATGCACCATCGTCGCCTCCAGGGCAGGAGCAAGCAAGGACTGGAATCCCAATGCTGCAACACAGTACTAACAATCATAGTCGATCTAAGAATCAGACTAGTAGTAAGAGGAAGAAGAAGAAGTAGAATGATTCCCGTAGCAACAAACCGTGATAATGATAGCCAAGGCGAAGGGACTCGCACGGAGCATTTTTCTGTCGTCGAGGAGACCGGTGCTTGTTTTTGCACCTGCCCCTAACCTTTCTACAGCTTCTACGTTCCCTACCTATAAGAACTATCGTGCATCAAAGTGATGTAGGTTCCAACCGGATGCCACGCTGGTTTTCTATGCTCCGGTGCTGCTTCAGTCGAAGCAGACAGGTGGCGGGAAGCTGGGATGGCACCAGCCGCTGACCTGCCACAGGGATTCAAAAAGCGCTGCATGACCGCATGACCTGGTATGCCTGAGCTGCCAGTTGCCAAACACATTGCTGCTGAATTCTAGAGGTGCGCATGTCTCACGATGATGTGTGGCCACGACTTACGCGGAAAAAATGAATGTGCAGAACGTGCCATGACCTGTCCGAAGCTTCAAACCCTCGAAGGTGTCTTCAAGAAGATTTTCCCGTTCCCGCCTCGTAGTTGCATCCTTCACGAAGGGTCCACTTTTCCTTGTCGCAGTAGGGGAGGCAGCAGGTCCCGCACTTGCAACACTTTGCATCTGGATGTGCTGCACAATACATGAAGGACATGTCAAGCAAGTTGATGGCGCCGGGTGGATCATCTGCGCAGTTCGCAGGGCCACTCATCACTCCACTGTAGGCCGAGGTCGCCGTGCGATACTCCCCGGGGCCGCTTTGTAGCTCACAGCCATGGTCGGTCCAAAAGGAGAAGAACTGACAGCCCTCGGTGACCCGGCAGTAGGACTGGCAATGCTGCCACTCGCTGACCTCAATCCGCATGCCTGCCATGACCGGGTAGTGATACTTCCCAGTCACGACACAGCCTTTGCCCGCTTTTTCGCCCTCGGCGTGCTTCTTATGCTCAAGGAGGCTGCTGACATCCTCCTGCATATCCAACCCACATCCCTCAGCCTCACAATCCTGCTGAGCCTGCTGGCCTGCAGCAGGTGCGAGGGTCAGGGCCAGGATGGACAGCCACAAGACACCGGCCATGCTGAGGGGGGTCGGGGTCGAAGAGAGGGCTGACTTCCACAATGAGCCGGAGCACTGTCGAGAAAGGAAAATCGCTTCCACTCAAGAGCGCCCTCGCTGTTCTCGATGCAGCACTACAACGTCCCTAAACGTGAACCCGACAGATGAGCCCTGCCTGTGCCTGATGGACAAGCGGGGCTTGGAGTTGAGCCGAGGTGTGCCAAGGCTCCCTGAAAAGCACATTTCGCATCTGAAACTCCCAGCCCGAAACATCTTCGCCGCAGCGCCTCCCAGTAGCCAGCACTGGCCAAAGCGCCAAGGGCACTGCCCAGCACCGGTGCGACATCCAACTCCTTGGCCAGCCCCAAAATTTCCGAATAATAGGTAACAACAGTGTATAGTATGAAAAGCAAGACAAGAATCCAATCAGCATAGAACCCTAATAGAAGTAGAATAACAGAGAAATAGAATTAGACTTAGAATTAGAGTTAGATTAGAATTAGAATAGAAGTAGAATGGCATGGGGTTAGACTAGAGAACATATATATATATATATGTATATATATATATATAAGCTACCCCCCCCCTCAAGGATCTACCGTTTTCGTGTGTTTGAGAGCCGCAGGCAGAAGACATGAAGATTCGT